GATGTATTAAATTATGACAATAACAGGCTGTAAAACCCTCAGATACGTACTCACATGCCCTAAGTCCAAAGAACAGGAAAATAAGGTTCAGATTAAATGACCTTTTGTATGCCATCAGAATTGGTTAAGGCAAGAACTCTTTGACTTTTACCTGACATTTAATTTGCTGGCTTGCTTCCTTCTAGAGTGCTCAAATTTTACTTCCTTTCAGATGTGCTTGACAACCACTCACCCTCTTCCTATTTGTCTGCCAGGCTCAAGTCAGGGTCTCCAAGCACTTGGCACATGCCCCACGAGCACTTCTCACACTTCTCTAGTAATCTGGACCACGTGTCTGTCTCTCCCACTTGACTGTGAGTTTCTCAAACCTCAGACACCACCCCACCCCTGCTCATTTTTAGCAAATAAAGCTCCCTGGCAACCTCACAGAAGAAAATTCCCACAACTTCCCTCCACCCAAATCCACCTGCTCTCTGCATCTCCCGTGCCGCAGTAGAGGAGTCTTTCCTATCTAAGGCCAATCCCTCCGTGTTCAGATTCCATCAGTTCCCCCTTCTCAGGAACCCTTCTCTCTCCACTCTCTCCAGCCTCTCCTGTAAACTGTGTCCCTCCTGTAAGCATTACCACGTGCTCCAGGCCCCCAGTCCACTCCACTTTCCTCTCCTCTTAACGTCTTCTTTCCCCTCCAAAATCTGATTTCTCAGAAGAGTTGCCTACATACCTCCACTTGCTTATCACCTACTCAACTCACTTAACAATACGGCTTTTGCTCCCACCTTCCACCAGCACTGCTCTAAGTCAAAGCCAACAACTTCCTGGTCCCTAAATCCAATGGATTCTTCTTAAAACATATCTCAACAGAGCAGCAAGACCTTCACAGTTTTGACCTCTCCCTACCTTCTTGAAACAACTCTTGGCTTCAGTAATGCCCCCACCCTGGCATTCTTATCCACTTTTTGGCAGTAATAATCACAACTTCCAACACCTGTGTAGAACTACAGAACTTTATAAAGCATTTCCACAGGTGGTACATTTATTCATTTAATAAATGTTATGAATGAACGTGCCATTTGATCCTTATAACACTGTGAGTTTACTATGTGGGTTTTATTTCAGAGATGAGAAAAATCAGCCCCATAGTCAAAGTAGTTTTCTTAGAGGTCACACAGAAAGGGTTAAAATCAGTACTCCTATCCCTCTCCCAACTTTAAAACCCATGTCCCTTCCAATACTACCATCATATGAACAGATAAAAATATTCAAGTACCACATCTAAGAAAAAATGAAGACATAACTGATTATCTTGCAGAAAGACCAAGAGCCCAATGATGCATAGTACCACCTCTGACGCTAAAAAAAAAAGGCTAAAACCTCTCACATCCGCTTTTGATACATAATGTTGAGCATCTATTAAATTGTTCATACTTCACATTTCCAAGGCTCAAATGGCATCCTAGCAGCAGACATCCGGTGACCACTTGAAGACATTAGCTTCAGGAGTTCAACTCTGCTATAAACAACATGTGTAAGTAATTTCTCCCCTTCTAAAGAAAAAGTCAGCAGCTGTTTGCTAAAAAATTTTTTTATTGTGAATGAAGACATTGCCAACTTACATATATCATTTTTATTTGGAGTATTTTTTGCCTTGCAGTGCTCCTGAGAAATTCAGAAATGCATTGACTTTAGCTCTATAAAACATAACTCAATATGAAGGTTGGGCTGTAAATTTCCCACATTTAGATATTTCCCTAAAAATCAAAAGACAATTTATCCATTTTAAGTAGAGAAACCTTAATAAGTTAAAAAGTAAAGACCGGCAAATAATCACAAATGTCAGAACATTAAAAGTACCATTGCTTTTTCCATAGGAATATAGAAAATAAATATCAGTTATACTTAATATTTACAAAATTAAAGATAAATTTTTGTTGATGGAAGATGTTTTAAATACTTTGATATATGAAAAAACTCATTGGCTTTAAATCAAATTCAAATGCTAAGTTTGACACATAATAGCACTTTCTCCACAATTCTCATCAATCCCCTGTCCCTGAAGATATAGTCTGGGTTTTTTCCACCTACTGATTGAATAGTATTTTGAGAGTCTTTTTCCCTCTTTCGATTAACCATTAAAAGGTTAAAATAAACTAGAGGCTTTATTTGGGAGGATATTTATATATTAATTGGCTGGTTTTAAGAAAGTCATTCCTTTTTCTCCACGTTTCTGTTTAGTTTTCGTTTTGTTTCTTTTTTTCTTTTAAATCAAAAAGGGCAGGAACTAAAACTCAAACAACCCTATGATACAGGATTATACTAAAATCAAATCCAATGGATGGATGGATTTTACACTATAGTAGAGCAGTTGAAAACCACTAGGAATGTTGTGAAAACCTGTGGCCGCTAAGGCAAAATTCAACCACAAATTCTAGTAAGTTTATAGAGAAGTAAACAGTAAAATTACTATAGTTAAAATACTGCAGTAAAATTACTGTTAGCAATGTCCTATTGCTAACATTAGAATTATATGCTTCATCACTGCAGGGTTACTAAGATTCCTTGAGCAGATGGTTCATCTCTGACACAACTTAGTTTCAGAAAAGTAGATGAGTTATGTCTGGTTTAGATCAACAAACACTTAGTATGCATACCAGTGAGCTATAGTTTCAATGATGATACAACTGAAACATTAGGTACTACAGCTTCAGGACAAGGTCACATACTTATTTAAACAGCAGCCATGTAAGGTCATGCTGTGATGTTTAGATATGCAATCCACCCATAACAGCTTCCAAACTTACGTTAAACTATGGGGTGAAGGGGGACAGGCTGTTTTGAGCAGGGAAGGAAATACTCAAAATGTCATAAAAGGCATTTAAAATATGATGACATGCTACTTAAATACCCACCATACATCTCCTTTTCAAATTAAAAGAGAAAATTTTTTTGCTTGTTCTATTTCTTCAAAATGAAGGATCATGTCTCTCTTTTTTTAACTTAGAAACTTTTATTTCAGATGCTCCACACTGAAATGAAACTTCAATGGCAAGCAGCAAATAATTCAGGAAGGTCAAAGTATCTTTGAAAGGATCATATAAAACCTAAGAGTAATAATTTCATAGAAAAATAATGGGCAAAACAGACAGGAGGCAGTTTGACAGTTCTAATATAGAACCTGTATGACAACTTCCTTTCAAGTGTATGAAATAAAGGATGGCAATATAAATAAATTAGCTAAGGAGACAGGTGATGTTCTGAAGCAGCAATGTCTTAGTTACTAAATTTTTCAGAAAAACAAGTTTTACCCATCAACACATAAAGACTTCCAGTCTTCTAAATACAGTAGAAAGTATACAGTTAACCACAGCAAAATTTACAACCAACCAAATTCAGCCCTGGCCGGAGCAGGCCTATTGACATATTTGATTAGTATCATTGTCACCTTTCTTTGTTATACAGATGTTTCTATTTTCAAGGCTTATCGAAATTTACAAAATTTGCAAGAAATGTCTTTAAATGTACAACTTCAACAACTAATACAAATGTGAACATGCTGATATAATTAAGATCCAAGTCAGGATTTTTTATGACGTGCTTATAAAAAATTAAAGAAATACTCCCTTACTCTTAAGTTCCAAACACCTGGTGCTGGTGTTGTTGAAATGACTTCATACCCTCACGACCATGAGGATGAGAATGGAGGACTTCTGGTTGATGTACCTCTCATATCAACACCTCAGACAGAGGCAAGAGGTGTCGTGTTTAGTGATATTGCTAAATATAGTTACATAAATACAACTGTATGATTTAACACTTGTATGAAAGTTGTGTGTATGTGTGTAAGGAAACAATTAGTTTTAAGATGGAACCTTTAGGGCCGGCTCCGTGGCTTAGCGGTTAAGTGCGTGCGCTCTGATGCTGGCGGCCCGGGTTCGGATCCCGGGCACGCCCCAAGGCACCACTTCT